CAAATTTAGACGAAATTTTTTATTTATCTCCAATTTCGTTTATTAATTCATGCAAAACTTCCCAGGGAACCTTTATGTTTTCTAGAAAGTAAAGCGACTATCAACAATGTTATGTAAATTAATCTGAATTTCGTTCATTGATCTAAATTCTTCATATGAATAGATTCAGTAATTTGCCAATATACTTTCTCAAAACTTTTTCAATCACTCTGAATATAACCAATCACATAATTTCTACTCATTCTATTTTTGATTGAAAGCATATAAACAAAAAACAATCAACTCATAGTATCTAACCATACTTGAAATTCTGCAGTAACTCATACTGTTTCAAAGACAGTCATCACTGACTTTAATTAGGTAAAGAAACAATGTATTTTCAAAAATCCACATAATTAAGAACGATAGCGGAATCAAACCGCAGATTTTCAGGCTTTTCAATGAGCTGTAAACGATATTCTTCCTTTTGGCAAAAGTAAGGTTCTATGAAATCAGTCGTTTGATGGGTCAGTTACATACTTACGATAATCGGTGGTTATCGTGCTAAACTGTGGATCAGGTAAAGTTTTTATTGCTTTCTACCGGATTATGAATCATTGATTGAATAGTGTAGAGTTAGTCATACAAAGCAAAGGTCTTATCTGCGTAGTGGGTATTTATTTAGAAAATTATAAACTTAGACAAAGCGGCCATTCACCAATCGTTGCTTTACAGTGCTTATCAATTTATTATCAGTTTGTGATGAAAACGATCTTTAAGTCAAACACGAGTTTCGAATAAATGAGTTAAATCAGTTCTTTTGCCTAATTTGCGTTTGATGTTAACTTACACTGGAAAAACATCAGAGATTATGCAAAGATAAACAAAAAAATTAATGATGACAAGTGAATTTTAGTGCTTTTTCTATAGATTGTTAAAACAGCGGAATATTAAATTGTTAATTTAATACATATATTACATCCGTTTTCCTTACAACTGATCTCTGCTTAATATATTTCTTCGTTTCCGTAACAAGTATGAACTACATTAAGTTTTAAGCAAAACACATTCGAAGAACTCCCCTAATATTAATTTCTGTTATTTAATCTGGAATCACTAACTTACTAATCAACAATGCGGAGATAATAACCATTTATAATTTGTTCTAGTATTTCTTCAGTCTTTCCAGAAAAACCTGATAAAAGCCTAACTTCAGCTTAGTACCTAAGCACACGGTTATTTCAGATGTTATGAATTGTTCATAGACTAGTTATAATGTCCAATTGTTCAATTTTTTGAAGATGAAGATTTTGGTTTCTTTACGGAATAAAAAATCACTTTCCCAAACAAATTTATCACAGATCCATATACTGGGTAAAACTTTCACTATATTTCTTTCTTTAAGCATAAAAACATCTTCAGAAAACATTTGGAAAATCTACCATAATCATTTTATAAGAATGTTACAATTTTCTGTGAGTCAGTCAGCTACAGCGCAGGACTAGGCATATAGTTGCCACACCTCATTAGCACAACAAGATGAACACCGATTTCATAGAAGTAGTTACTTCAATGATTGTAATGTATAAAAGAAAGGTTGTGTATAAGGATATAGTACAGGAAGAAAGAACTAGTTGGTAGAAAGAAAACCATAAAATAATTCTAATCCCACAGTTTAAGACAAGAAAAATAGTGTATACATCGATGACATTGTGATCGATTCTGAGCCATGTCACCAACAGGCTCCAATCATTGGTTACAACAGTCACGAGGACCCCAATCAAGTAGTCTGCATCTACCAACATGGCTCAGACTAGAAATTAGTGACTTTAATGTCTGATGCCACGTTTTAGTTTGGCCGCTCCTAACTTTCTTTCAACCATCTTCAACACTATCCAGCATTGCGCGTCATAGTAATCAGTATTTAAGCAAACGTATCATACTATAGCAACTCATTTATAAACACTTTTCACTTTCACACTAAATCAATTAATCTGAATAAATACATTCAGTTATAAATGAATATTGAGATCAACAATATAATATTGACCACTCATTCACACATACAAAGTGTACTACTAATATACATTTAAAAAATGGTATAAAAATAGGTAAAAAAAATTTTCTGTTTTTGCAGTACATACACAAACATACCAAAAATAGAAACCTTAAAAAAATTTTTGTAGCAAGACTATAATTTATGAACGAACCAATCAAGTATAAGATAACAGGTCTTGGATTTTCACATGAAATTCACTCATCCATTTGGTTAAATAGAGTTTTGGCATTATAGCTGATATCAGTTCTTGATGAAAACTCTAAATAGAATTCCTAACCTTAACCATCATCTGCAAATCATAATTCTAATTCGTCACACAGATTTATAACCCTCATTTGATCTTATTTATTAAGTGGACACTCTTAAGGTTAGTCTAGTGTTATTCAAAGGTCATTTATAAATTATAGTCTCACCATTTTTGTTTTAAAACATGTAAATTCAGTTCAATTTCCGTATAGAGATATAAATTATCATTGATATTTACCATAGAAATATATAGTAGACAAACTAGGGTTTTTTTTCGGTCTATAATAGAAAGGTATATTTAGTAGAAGAAAACTACACTTAAAATGCTTATATCATAAAAAAACTATTATTCCTTATTTGTATTATTATTATTATTATTGGATAGTAACAACTAACTGGTGGTCATATTTTAACCATTTCGGAATGTTATATATTTGATGTCAGTTAGCTTTTTAGGGCATCCCCCTTCCTATTAGAGAGATAATGAAAAAAAATAATAACATGATTCATAAAAATGAAATTTATGTTTGTTCATATAGGTGTAATAATTATTTTACTTAAATATTTTGACAGAATACAGATGCCAACAAAATAAGTTAGTTATATTAATGTAAAGAATTTACCATTAGATAATGGATATGTTTTTCTTTATTGTACTTGTCTATATGCACTATGCTAGGTATACATTAAAAACGACAGAAAAGCATTGACCAATTTCTCTTTTCATTATATGACAAATTTTCAACAACTGGTTTATTTTTCTGATATATACATACATATATATATATATATACCAGTTCTCACTAATTTATGTCTCTTTTATACTTTTCCTTTTTTGTTAGAATGAACCAAACAAAATAAACTGCTATTTATAAAAACCAATACCCAAATGGATATTATTGTATACACAATTTTGGTCAATATGTACAATAACGGTTATTGTATTTCTTTTCTCTCCGAAAACTCAACAAATATTGAAAATTTGCTGTTATTCTTACTTTCTTTATATACAAATGTAATATGAAGGTATTATTACCAATAAATTCAGCATTGGGTAGATTGTTATAAACAAAAATAATATATCAGACGGGTTTTGTGGAGGTCTGTTGTGAGATAGTAACTCACTGAAGACAATGGTGAATGTGTCGCTCAATTTCGTGGATTAGTTGAAGTTAGACATTTACATCGTTAGATGCCGGCCGGCTCAGTGGTCTAGTGGGTAAGTGCTCGAGCGCGAAACCAGTGTGTCCTGGGTTCGAATCTCACAGGGGGCGAGGTTGTGGATGCGCACTGCTGATTAGTCCCACAATAGGACGAAACAGCCGTCCAATGCTTCTAGGTTTTCCATGGTGATCTAGCTTCAACTGACTCATGACCTTAACCATTGAAAAATAATATATACTTGTAATAACCAAATGAGAGGAAAAATTGAATTTTCTAATGTTTCGTGACACAGTGTAAGCCACTTCTTCAGAGAATAAATAACCAAATCAAAATGAATCCAAGTTTAAATAGTACAATGGAACAACATGTAGTATGAATTCTTATTAATAATAGACGAATAAAGATTGTTTTTATTACTGTTTGAAAGAAAATTATATGTTTCGTTTTATAGGTTAATATAAACAAATAGAAGTTAAGTTTCACATCTAATATATTTTAAATGATTAAAATAAAAACGAAGCGCCTTAATTTTTGGTAAAAATCTGTATGTTCAACTGAAAATGAATGACATAATTTAAGAGTGATTACATAAACACTTACCTATTACGAAACTGAACGAGATAAATAAAGATACTTATTATGCACTTTCGAACATTATAAGAATGATTGATATAAACGAGTTCTTTTTGAAAGTTGATCTTTTTAATTTTTGTTAGAGGGATCCAAAAAACTTCCAATAAAGGCTCTGAAAACGCTAAGAAACATCTTATTCATGTAGCATTCAATGGAATTTTTGCCAAAAAATAATCTAGAAAGTGAAACGTCACATGTCGTGCTTCTGATTGGATGATTATCCATACTGCTACTATGCTTAGTGGCGTTCCAGAATTTTCCAGAAACCCAAAGCCTTCTAAAATAACATAAGTACCTTAGATCTTCTGTACATAAACAAACCTTTGGAGTAAAGCGTTTCTTCCATATTTTGGGCTTGTTCTCTTATGTTCAAGTTGCTATGTAGATTTAGTCTGAGGGTTAATAAAAAAGCTTAGGAACCGAATCTAACATTTAATTAGAAGATTTATGAATTTTGATAAAAACGCATTGCATAGTTGTACAAAAAATAATTTATTCCATCTAACAACCAATTCGAGTCATCATTATATTTCATCCCAAAATGTAATCTAGATCAATTTTATGGAGTACATTTACGTTCACCAACCATATAAACAAAGATTTATGAATTAAATTCATGTATCTGATCAATAATTGAATGTTTAAAATATTATTCATTAACTAAGGTATGAATATTGTAATCAAAATCTTGGAAATAATTACTATCTAAAAGTAAATGGACTTTAATTTTTTGAGTTTTTTTAGTGCTTACAATACTAATGACAAATGGACATGTAAGTTGGACCAAATTGTCTACAAAAGTATTTAGTATTTTAGGATTCTCATAGTCTATTTCGATCAAAGTGGTTCCAATTTGAAATTTACATGAATATCTATTTATCTTATATAAGAATAATCTTTGAAAAAAATGATTGTCTACCTGCATCTTTACGACAGAATTTTTTCAGTTTAATTCTTTCTTTATTTGTACTACATGGTGGACAGTTTATATCACCTGTAAGAAAAAAGGTAATAATAAAAGTAATTAAAATTGATACAGTAACTTCGGTGAGACTATAATTTATGAACGACCTTTAAATAACACTAGACTAACCTTAAGAGTGTCCACTTAATAAATAAGATCAAATGAGGGTTATAAATCTGTGTGACGAATTAGAATTATGGTTTACAGATGATGGTTAAGGTTATTGAATTATATTTAGAGTTTTCATCAAGAACTGATATCAGTTATAATGCCAAAACTCTATTTAACCAAATGGATGAGTGATTTTCATGTGAAAATCCAAGACCTGTTATCTTATACTTGATTGGTTCGTTCATAAATTATAGTCTCGTCGTAACTTCATTTCCGATAAAAAAAGGAAAGTATTAGTCTACTTCATTCATTAGTGAAGTAATTTAGCCATTGATGAGGATATCTTAACTAAGGAAAAGAAATAGCTCGGATTTCTTAATTGATTTCTGTATGAAGAAATAGTAAATGAAGTTGAATAAAAATAGGTAGAAGTTAAAGCAACCAGTCTTTGTCAAGCTTCCCTCAGTAAGGTTAATAACTAAGGGACTGTTGATAAAGCCGTTTCACATAAACTTGATCTGCAAACTGGTTCATTTCATAGTTTAGGAATAATAGGGTATAATTATATCATAATTGTAAACTAACTTGTTAACCAATAATATCTTTGAATAAATGAACCGGAAACAATTTGTTTTTCCTGATAAAGAACTGTAATATTTGTTAGCTGATAATGTTACCAAAAATCTGTAGTATACTTAGCTTTCAGTCCACGAGGAAAAATGAAGATGGCTTATTACTTTTCTATAGTAAACAAAAATCTGAATATATTTGGAAAATTTGACGATACTAAAATTGTTTAATCATAACACAGATTGACCTACCTGGTGTATGAGCCAAAGCTACTGCTCGAGATGTGAAATCTAAGAAAAAGAGAAAAATATAAAAGCCATAATAATTTATCAGCACGATTGATTAGTTCCAATGAAGTATTTTGTAATACAAAAAGGGTATCAATTGTAAAGCGAATGGGAATTACCACGGGTATTTGAATGGTCAATTTATAACAATAATTACATATTGAAAGATTAACTAGTTTTGACTAGGTGAAAAGAAAATTTTTTTTCATTATAAAAATAGTTGTAAAACAATGAGTAATAGAAACAAGTTCATTAGCCTACGGTAAATAGAATCTCTGAAAATTCTGAAACCTTAAAATCAAAGCAATGACAGTATTTGTTGATAATTCTCCGTAAGTTGATGATAATCTGAAAACAACTATTCAATGATCATGTTCGTCCTATTTCGGACTCTTCAGCTGGATGTAAATGCACTCCCGAGTTGATGTTCACTCTGGGACTCAAACCCAGTACCGTTCACTTCAAACACCATCGCGTTATCAACTTAGCCACTGAGTCCTGATAGCCAGCTGCTTGTACAATGGAGTGAAGTTTAAACTCACTTGATGTTGTTTACTTTAATAGATATTTAGGACTACAGCTGATCACTATTTTGTAGGCATATGTGACTGAAGGCAATATTGAGGCAATCCGTACAGGATGCACATATGCTAATAAGAAACTGATCAATTGGAGTCCTAAACAACAATGAAAACATACAAGTAAACAAAAACAAGTGAATTTATTCAATGATCAGTATAATATTAATGGCTGGTATTCATTAGTAAATACTTGATGGTTATTTCTATGACATAGAAATTCATACAGTTCAGTAACTATAGAGTTAAATCTTTTCGGATAAAAAAAGGAATTTATTTACATTTCAGGATACAGATAAAAAACAGATAATAACACTATCGAATCATCAATTGTTAATAATTAGTTCAACTGAAATTAACTAATTCATAACTTAAAAATGACATTTTCAGTGGCGCTAAGACTTTCAATGTTTTTTTGCGCATTAAACTTGTCTATAATTCTATTGAAACTTAAAACCTTAAATCTTGAACAATTTCAAAATGTTACACATAACATCAGAATTTAGATTGAGAGCAAAATAAAACTGAGTTACATGTGAAATTATGTCAATGACTTTTAATTCAAACATATAATATATAAAAGATTGGGTTAAGAAAACTATTAAACATAATATCAGAAAGGGCTTTTTGTGGATATTATAGTAATTTAATAGTTGAAATCATGAGTCAATTGAGGCTAGATCGCTACAGAAAACCTGGAAGCACTGGACGGCCATTTCGTTCTAGTATGGAAAACTTCAGCAGTGCGCATCCACGATCCCGCCCCGCCGGATTCATACTACTGCGGTGGATACTCTTTCATTTCGATGAAATATTTGGTTTCGTAGTTATCATTATAACTTAAAAAACAGAACCAGAATCAAATAGTCATGTTCGTTTTTATATAGTGACTGCTTCCGTTTAACAATTGAATTATACAATTTATTTGGCAGTTCATACAATCGATGAACACTTGTGTAGTAAGTTATAATTTTCTAGCATAAATCCTAAACAGAAACTAAATCTTGTAGATTAGTTGAAGCTAGACATTAACACCAATAGATACCAGCTCAGTGGTCTAGAGGTGAAGCAATCGCACGCTAGACTGATAGGTCCTAGGTTCAAATATCGCGAGGCGGATTCGTGGATGCGCACTGCTGAGCAGTCCCATAATAGGACGAAATAGTCATCCAATGATTCCAGGCTTTCCATACTAGTCTAGCTTCAGTTGACTCATGATCTCAACTATTGAAGAAACTAAATTATTAAAGCCGCTTGATTATTGATACCCATCAGGATAGGAAAGAATAAGATGACATAAACAAGAATAATATGAAATTATGCTAAAATTACTCTATGCCAAACAAAGCAAATAAACCTTTCTCTTTCTGATCCGATGCAATAATTATGATTATTGTCCAAAAAATCAGATGAAACATAAATTAAATAAGAAATAATCCAATAATTGATTGAACAAAATCAAGTGATTTAAACAAAACAATTAGTTTTAACAGAATTTTGTATTGAACATTCACTTGAAGTTTGTTTGTTTTCTCCTCTTACATTCAAAAAAAAACTAATTTGTGTGCCAATTTTAAATCTTCCTTTTTTATTGAATTTATGATTATGATATTAATGAAGATGATATGTAACCGTAATTGGTTTACTTTTATTTTCCGACCAATATTTATGTATAGTTAGTTATTTTTTGAATATACATGTAGGATCTAAGTAGAGAACTGTAAAAGAAAAAAAAATGTTGACATCTGTCATATAAATCATTCATTATATGTGTAGTTTTGTCTTTTCATTTAAGCCTATTATTTTATGCATGTACATATAGAATAAGATTTATGATGTATCATGTATACAACAATACGATGAAATAGGTATTAATTATCTACAAGCTTAATACAAGTCAATGATGAAATGTTAAAGGAATATGTATTTTGGTTAGTTGTAAGATAAGTGAAATTGTTTTCACAATCTTAGAATGTCATATGAAGAAAGAAATAGATCTGTTAGTAATGTTATAGGTTTTAATTTAATTAATTGGATAATTTATTCATCATTAAATGGTTCACATAGATGTTTTAAGTATGGTCGAGATAATCCAGTCATAATAAATTTTAAATTATCACATATGAAGTGTTTACAAATGCGTTTTATAACGGATTCTAGGAGATTTACCAGCCACTTTGCTATAGAGTGTTAAGGGTATCCTGACATATCAAGAACTGGTCTGAGAGTTAGGCCAAGTTTGTGTAATTTTGGCAGACCGTATATTCGCGGAATTATCGATCCTGTTGGTTTTATGTGCTCATTTTCATTCTCTTAAGAACTTCAATCAGTTGCTTTTCCATAATTTCAGTCTTGTTTTTCTCATTGATTGGTTTCGAGAATTCAGTGTCATCTGATAATAACTTTTTCATCTTTTCGACATGAATCTTGCGTTCTAGTAGCACCTTTATCTGGGCGTGTTATAATCAAGTTTTTATTGTTTCTAAGTAGTTTTAGTTGATTTCTATGTTCTTTCGTTAAAAGACCTTTGTCTGTTACTTACGTGGTAATATATTGGTTGCAGCTATCAAGAAGAGTAGATTTGAAACTTTGGAATTCTTGGTCAGAGACTGGACAAAAACCATTTGTTTGTTTGATTAAATTTTCGAATTGAACATGTGTGGATTATATTAAATGCCATGCACAAAATGTTATCGATTCTATTAGTCAACACATCCCGTTATTGGAATTTAACATTTTGCAAAGATCTCCTGTGTCATATGAATTATCATCTAACGAACACTATTTTTTCACTGATTATGTTAACACAGTTACTGACAAACGCACGAAAAAATTAACATCGGACCCCACTAAAAGTTTGAAAGCCAAAGAAACATAGCATAAATTTCCTAGCAATCCTGAGAGGTATATGTTTAATCATTCTTCAATGTCCTTAACAAATGTACAATTAGAGGCCTTATCTTTGGGAATAAAATTCTGTGACATAAGTTGGAAAATTAATAAAATCCACACATGTATGTTTCTTAGTTCAATCAAAACAGGCGAGCGATTATATACATAAAAATCATTGGTCATCTACTCGCGTCTTATCTATTGATGAATTCAGAAACTATATGTTTTGATTATGTAGCTAGATGGGAAGCATTTCATCACTGGGCTCCTGATAAGTAATATTCCGTTTTATAAACATTACAAATTTTATAGGCTTGTAAACACTAGTCAAGTGTTAAATGTAAGCCAGAACATTGTAAATTACCTACTCATTGATGATGTCATAAGTCATTTATCTTTATGCATCAATTCGAACTAATTCTTCAAATCTAATTTATTGATGTCTTATTGGTACATATGTCAGTATTCCTTTTGTATGCTTACAACTAGAACAAAAACTGACCTACCATAATTTATTTCTAGGTGAATTCACCTGTGCTTTGTTAATCAGGTTACTAAACACGACTTATTTATAAAACACTTTGGGTTATTGTGCGCATAATCTACAGCATTAGTATGGACAAATCTTATATGCTTAAGTTTTTTGCTATGATATGCGTGACTGATTCACCATATGAAATAGTATGAATAGATTTCTGAAAGTTTATATCCTTTGGAGAATTACTCTTGTGTTACGTAATCACTCATGTGTAGATAAACGTTGAATCATGGTAATACAGTTGATAATTTATAATCTTATGATAAAAAATTTGACCCTAAAATTAGGTACCATAAAGTTTAAAATTAAGACAAATAAATATTCTTTTGACCTTTGATGATTCATACAAAGTTAATTTATTTGAGAAACTTGATTTATAACTCGAAAGCTTGAGAAGAAAATTATTGAATGACAGTCATTCTTACAAATTTTACCAGTTATCTGAATGTAAAATTTTATTTTACTGTGGTATGTTATTTATGTCGAAGATTAATTTTATCACAGACAGTCAGAATAATCTTCATTCTGAATAGTTAGACCTTTTACATACATTTATGTAATATGTAATAACACGGGTGAATACCAGCTCTGTGGTCTAGAGGTTTAACGTCCGCGGGCGAGACCGAAGGTTCTCGGTTCGAGTCTCGTCTGCGGTAACGTAGATGTGCATTAATGAGAGACCTCATAATAGGACCAAAAGATCATTCATTAATTCCAAATTTTCAATTGCGATGTAACTTAGATCGGTTCGCGATTTCAATGAAATAATAAAATTGTTCTTCTAGCTGCACACAATTAAACATTCTGTGTTTCCTTACTATATGGACATTTGCAGATAACTAGTCGTTGATTAAGAATAATTATTGTATACCTGAAGATCTAACCACCAAGAGTCTTGAATTCTTGCCTATTGCAATATCGTCTTATTCGAGTGATAAAGTATTGAAAATGAAAGTGAAAAATATCTTAGCAATAATCAACACATAGGAGTCTTA